CCAGCCACATACCGAATTCTTGTTTGGGTGCAGTCACACCATGCCCATCTCGTGTGACACACACACCTGTTACCAGGGTCGTGTAACCCCGTTACATGACCCCGCTCAAACTCTTGTGATAAAGTCGGTAAGCGTAAATCTCTACCGGGCCCTCCGTTTGCAAATATACGTCAAAGATGGGCGGTTAAATGCCTTCGGTGGACGTGCCCTTTTCGTCAGCGTCGCCTCTGCTGCCGAGCGATGCCTTGATCGACAATGGCCTTGCGACACTCCAACTGCTGAATTAAATCGGCACGAAAGACACAAAAGACACAAAATTTGGCCTCTTGAGATTTTAAGCTCGCTCATTAACTCCGTGAGCCCCTAAGGTGATTGTAGGTTACATTTTTTTTCCGCAATCTATAACATCAAGCAAAGAGTAACTTTAATGCGCATAGCCAGACTCCTTCTTTGGTTTTTACTTCAGAGCTCAGACTTTCAGAATGGCACAGCAACAACGCTTTATGTACACCTTCGCCATAAAGCGATAGGATGTGCATATCAGTCATCAATTATATACAAGTTTTCAGTATTACTTGGTATATGAAAGGAAGTTAGCTTTGCGCCATGGAAACGGCATTTGGATCGAACAATCCATTCTGCTTACATGGGCACACCGACCTCTCACGTCCAGGGGAGAAATTTCCACCTTTTTTGATCTAGAAAGGATTTGCGCTTAAATGAAACAATCCAGACCAATATGTCTGTAAGGGCCGATGGCGCTTTCAGCGTCTGGTTGCCAGATACACGTAGGTGTCTCATCAGCATATTTTCATAGCCTTAGAACGCTTCCAGAACCGATTCAGACCTTGGACCGACGTTTATTCTATCTCTTCGCGACCAACTGAAGTTGAAAGCTTTTTTAACGCACCTTGTTGCCTTTGGGTGAGGTGGGGGTAAGATGGGCCATATTCACAAGAATGCAGTCTTATTAAGAACTTAGCCACCGGCTTGAGTCCTAGTGCTACCAACGGCAACGGGGTCGCCATGCATCTCACACAAAGAAAGTTTTGACTCTTGGAGTCCGCATTAACCAACGCGTAGAAAATAAGCTCACTGACCGTTCGTAGGACGCAAAACCCAGAAATTCTGCAATATCCATTTCTTCCCATTTGCTCAAATTAAAGAGTATTCGACATAAAATTCCAGCTAACGAAAAGGATCGAATACATATGTTCTACAATTTCCAATGATGAGCTCATGCACCTCATTGAGGTTAGCAAACTACGTATCCACTGATCTTTTTTTGTCTGACAGCGATCACTCCCATTCCGTACCTATCACGGCCTCTCATCATGGCTCGCTCTAAGTACAGTGAAATGTGTGTGTACACCATAAGTGACTTGCTTGCTTATTGCTTTTTGTTTCGCCAGATATGAATTTTATAGATAAATTTTAGCTTTACATATAAAGTCAAGCGTTGAGACCAGATAAATTTGCAAGTCTCTTCGCACGTTCGTTGATGCTTGATTGTAATTCCAGACAAATCACGGAATCTAGTTGTAAGGTCTGGATTCGCGGCTATCACCAAGAAAAGATTGCATTTTACAAGGAGATTTTTTGTGATATCGATTTTTCGTCAATGGGAACGAGATTTTTTTGATATGTTACAAGCATATACTGCATTCATACCAGAATAAAAACAAACAAAATTTACAGAAACATTTCTTTCACGACCAACTGGCTAACGATCTCAACGTACAGTGCAAAACAATTCAACATGATTTGAAGCAGATGGATAAAATGTCGTATATAACGCTCAAGCAAAGTACAAAGGCGCACGCACTATCTGCGTTGAAAGCGTCTTCATCGTTTGCTGAAAGCATACGAACACCTCCCTCAATCTCACCGTCTTCATCAAGCAAAAGCCCACGAACTCAGCTTCATCTTCGATATTAGCACGCTATCCGTAGCTAGCTACAGTGACATGGTGTTCACTCCAGACGCTGTTTCATGTTTATTTATGACTGACTACCTTTGTTTTCAAAAGGTATTGTGGCCAGAATTTCGAAATTAGCCTGGCTGTGCTAAAACTACAAATCAAGCTCGGTTCATCCTCTCGCTGACGAAATCATGAACGCTTTGATTCAAATGCGACTCCGACATGGCTAAAGCTTATACGTATACCAACAACGTGGGTAGCTCGAATAGGGAAAAGAATTTGAGAATAATCTCAAGATGAAACCGATGAAACGCTTGGACATTCTTTTAAAACGTTCATCACACATATTGCGTATGCATTACTTCATCCTTGACACAGAGAACAACCCATAGTACCGCGAGCTTTTAAACGAATAATCTAAAGCTCACATAACATGTGTGACCCTGCAGTAAGTTGGAAGGTGTGTCGCAAAGATCTCAAAGTTAAATCAAAAACATTGATCAGGACACCTAAGAGTCACAGCAGATAAGGCCCTTCGCCAACCAAGCCAAATTATGGCATCTGAATCCTGAATGATAAGCTGATGACATAACTTTTTTTAGTAGTGATGGTAATGCGCGTGACTTCTACACCACAAAAAAACACATTTCGGCTTCATTTTCACGCAACAATGCTTATCATATTTAATATCATGATCGCTTCTTCGACAGCCAGCCATGCATCACAGGTTGCGCTTCGACAATCGCTTACTCACAAATGGATGGTGAGAATGAAGGAAGCACTTAGTTCCATGTGCATGACGCGACATTATAAACGCATACCTTATTACAATTATCAAGTTCATCTATACAACTTTTTTTATTTTATTACTATTCATTACGTCAGAGCTGGAAGTTGGGCAATACAGATTAGGACCGAATATGTACGCGTCACCCAAAGCGCGACCTGCACTTAGCAGGTACATGTTAAATTAGCCAACACTTTGGATCGTAAACACAGTCTCAGCGCTTTGGCGATCGATTAAGCTAGACGTAATAAGACATCTTATTGATTCTAAAATGTCTAAAGTAATGTTGATCTTAACTCGCACTGTTTGTAAGTGCAAGACAAACGTTAATAACCGAAACAAATTTTCTTCACAGAAAGCCATCCAAGTTACAGTGCAAACAGAGTAGACACATGTGATGACTCCAAAGGTTTATCGGCCACATATGGACAGAATCCACTGAATCCTCCTGATTTGTTCACCCCTCTTCTTAACGTCATATAAAAGCAAGAAGGCGAGATTTATCAAACAGTTGACATGCATGGCATGCTAAAGATGCCTTTTTCTTTTGTATTGCTGCACAAATTGGGTTGTTAAAAGCATCTGTGAATTGGTAAATAGGGTGCGTATATATAGTAATAGAGAGAAGCTAGCCAGACTAAATATCGCCAGTTGACCTTATCAGTGCCATATGCCACTCATCAATGAGACAGAGCGAAATAGACAGAAAACAGCATTGAGATAATAATGTACGAAACGTTGATGAAAAGCATTAACTGGCACTTACATTTTTTTTTTCCTTGAAGGAATATCGACCAGAAAATATGGACAGCAAAAATTACATAAAAAAAACAAAAGCGACACAGAATACAATGCCGCAAAGTTGCGACTCCCTCAACGATATCAACGGATCATCACAAGCTCATCTCAACATTTTGTTAAGCTTACTTATCGTCCAGTCGTTGGCAACCAAGATTTTCAAAATGGCCAGGTCAGCGCATCTCATCCACCAGCAACCATGACTTTACGCAGCGTAGGATAGATAGTACTGTTATCGTATGTTACCCCTGCAAAAGCTGGGCGTTGATACCGTCGTGCGACAATGAGATGTACAGGAGGCATTCTGACGCACCGTTTATTAACACACGCGGTGCGGCGATGTACTTTCCAGTCGGCAAAACACTGGATTCTCATCAGCGGAGAAAATCAATTAAGCATCTGACAACAACACATTACATCGTGGTATTAAACGCGGCTTTGTGCCGTCAAACGCGCATTGCATATGACGTTGGTTCTCGAATATACTTTGCTATTCAAATGCTACAGTACTGGTGAATGGTGCCAGGCGTTACCGCCGTCACCAACAACACGTTTGGCGTCAACTGCAGCTTGTGGCATCTGTATTCCAGATCTTAGGAGATATACTATTAAAATCATGTTTTTAAACTTATATATTTGACTTCTTTCTCTATCTGTACTCATTTATACAGGTATATAATACTTTAAGAATAGTATTCTTGTAGTCCGTACTACTATTTTCTGATTCAGGATCAATCCGCCCTCCTTTTTCCATTTCGGCACTCTCCGCGCTCGTCGTTCGCTGCGACTGCACGAACGATCTCTTCTCGCCTCCATTCGCCACGTTTTAACAATGGGTGCCGAGCTGAGTCGTCCCACTACAGGTTTGGAAATTACGGAGCTGAAGGAGGACGCGCGTCGACGCGTGGGCAGTAGCAGCTCGTTGGACAGACGTGTTCAGGCTCAAAAAGCAAACAATTTATCCATGTCCGCCAGCACCACGGCTTTATCGACTCTGGTGCAACCGCTTAGCCGCAGTAGTAGTGGAAATTCAAAGTCTAACTTCTTTTCGAGTATGAGAAGATCTCGCAATGACAGCAAGAGCACACCACCAGACTCAATGAGCGTCACAATGGGTGGGGACCAGGCAGTCGAGAGTCTAGACTTGCCTATTGTAGAGTGGGAGGGATATGTTACAAAAAGAGGCCACTTGGTTAGGAATTGGAAGATGCGCTTCTTCACATTGGAGGGAAATCTCGTGTCATGTATGCAAAAGTGATGAAATGGCAACGAACGCAGCAAATTATTTACATTTTCATGTTGCGTGTGACAGATTATGAAAATAAGGTCGAGGCACGTAATCGTAGTCATTTGAAAGGCCGGGTGAATGTGGCGTCAGTCAAGGTGGATAAAGTGGCCAAAAATGGCCACGGCTTTGATTTTTCCTTCGAAACAACCGAGGGAAAAGTCTTTCATTGTAGTGTTCCGACTCATTTCGATCAGCTCGCTTGGGTCCACTTTCTTGAAGTAAGTGTAGCTGACCGTTTTTTTTATACCCAGGTGAAATATCTTAGTGTGATTAAACTTCTTCTGTTTTGCGCTTTTGCTTGTATAATAGGCCGGAATTGACATGGCAAGCATGCGTCAGAACAACAAACCAGTGTATGGCACGTACCGCAATAGTGCGCTTCCAGACATGCACACAGATAAGGCATACGAGACGTATCGTACCATGTTAGGGGGTGATCCGTCCGTCGTGACAGAGCTGCTATCGTATTTCAACAAGGATCTCGTTTTTTCGTCTTCATATCCGAAAAGCACGCCCTTCAGTGGTGATTATTTTGGCCGGGAAGGACTGCTGCACTTTCTTGGAGCGTTCCAAAGCAACGTAGATTTGATTGAAATGAAGGTAGAGAAATGCGAGCTGGATGCAAACGGTAAAAGTTTGACGGTAAAAGGCACCGAGACACTCAAAAGTAAACATTCTGGCACAATTATTACGCAGTCGTGGTCGCATCGTGTGCGCTTTGGTCCGTATGGCCGTATCTTACGCTTCCGTGTCGACGTAGATCTCAAGAACGCAACAGGAAATTGGAAGACGTTTAGTGTTAAGAATCCTTACTCGGAATTGTCGGATGCCTCTATCCGATCCAATCGGTCACTTAGTATCTCGTTGAAGGATTTTACAGTCTACAATGTAATTGGGAAAGGTGGATTTGGTACCGTTGTGAACGCAGTGAAGAAAAGCGATGGACAAATCTACGCTCTCAAGATCTTAGAAAAGAGCAAAATGACCAAGTACGATGTCGAGAGCTCATTTACAGAAATGCGTGTTGCCCAGAATATCCACCACCCATTTATTGCAGGACTTCGTATCGCTTTTCAAAGTAGAACTAAGCTTTTTTTGGGAATGAATTACTATGGTGGCGGTGACTTGTTTCACCACATGAGTAAAGGTTCTAGCTGTCAGATACCGTCTGACCGAGCACATTTTTACACGGCAGAATTGGTACTAGGTATCCATCATTTGCATCAGCACGACATTTTGTACCGTGACATTAAGCCCGAAAACGTCATGATTGACGCTGATGGTCATGTCGCACTTGTCGACTTTGGACTTGCTAAGCTACACGTATCTGAGTACAAGGGTGCAAAAACCATGGCCGGATCGCCGCAGTACACCGCACCAGAGCTACTCTTACCGAAAGCAAAGCGCTCGTATGGTAAAGCAGCAGATTGGTGGAGCCTCGGAATTTTGCTATACGAGATGAGTGTAGGCAAATCTCCTTTTTATGACAACAACATTGAAAAGATGTACCACAAAATCCAGAATGACCCTCTCATCTTCCCTTCCAAGCCAGCACTATCGGACGAGCTCAAGTCGATTCTTCGAAGCTTCTTACAAAAAGACCCGACCAAGCGTCTTGGTACAAAAATCAGTGACATTCTCGAGCATCCATTCTTTCGAGGAATTGATTGGGACTTGCTGCTCAAGAAGCAAATCACTCCGCCATGGAAACCCAAATTATCGTCGCCTCTTGACGTGGAATATGTGGACACAGAATTTACAGATCTAGATGTACATAGTGAAGTGCAGTCGCCAACAGACAAGTCTGCAGCCAAGTCGAAGGGTTTCTTGTCGCTTGTATCTAGTCGAAGTAGCCGGGATAAAGCAGCTCCACCGGTTCAAGACCCGACTTTTAAAGATTTTACCTATTTCTGCGAAGACCCTGATGCTCTCGTTGAAGTGACGCACCTCGTGTCAGAATTGCGGCCTTCTCCTCCACCTACAGAACCTACGCCCACTTCTCCGCCCAATGATGAGGATTCAGACGAGTCGAATCGCCATTCAGAACCCGAAAACTTAATGCCTTCAGAGTGCGAGGGTACACCATTGTCATCATTTGTAGAAAATGGTATTTTAAATCCGGTGTCCATTTCTCCGCAGCAGTTGCACGATGGATTACTGAAGTTGGAAGCTTCGATGACTGAGCAATTTGAACGCGTCGAAGTAACTATTTCCCGTGAGCGACCACCTGCTAAAAAGCGAAATGGTAGTTTGAGTTCAAGTAAAGAAGAGGAAAAGGATGTTGTCCGTGTGGAAAAGCTCATAATCTCGCCTCACTCATCGCGCATCGTTGCCCCAGCACTCACAATTAGCCCCAGCGCTGATCCTCAGACTATGTCTGAAGCTAGTGATTTTACAAGCCCCGAAGCGAGTTTGCGAGTCTCCCGCGAGGACCATTCCGCTGAAAGCCATACAGAGGCTAATAATAGTCAGCAGATAGTGGAGGCAGAATTCTAGCGCTTTTACAGATTGAGGAAATGTCAGGATTGGCAAAGGAAGAAGTGAATACCTGGCGTCATATCACCTTTCCTTTTGAGATACTTTGCATGCTAGAACTGACAGACACTTTGAAGTACAAAACAAGACAATAATTAAAATCAATGTTATACGATTCAGCTGCTAGTTGTCACCAAGTCATCGATACAGCTGCTTACTGTCACCTAGTCCTCGTCAAACATATCCATATCTTTAGCTGCTGGAGTCACGCCGCGAGTTTGGCCAATGCCGAATATTGCATTCATAGTGATTTGGCTGAATAGTGAGAGACCTCCTGATGTATAGAGACGAAGCAGAGTCCAAGCTATAGCAACAAATATAATAGTCCGGGTATGCGAACTTTTGGTTGGTTTTCTTTTATTAAGCTTTGCTTGAAAAACCTGCCTGGCCGTCTCAATAAAATGCTCGCGATCTGTGATTTTTCCATAGTCGATTCCTTCCCGTTTGAGCAACAGAGAGATCTCAGTGCTCGTCATGGATTCAAGTATCGACTCCACAGACTCGACTGAACTCGAAGGCTTTTGTGCGGTTTCGAAGCGTAAATCAGAAAAAGACCTTTTGTGTCGCTCTTCTTCTTGAAGATCATGCAACATTTGCTGAACCTTCCTGTCAGTCAGATCGATTCTAGCGGACGTACATATTTCTTAGAATACCTAACTATTCGTTTGTTTCATCATCTTACCCATTTTTCTCAGCGTCTGCAATCATTTCAGGGGTCGGATTATAGAAGTCGACGCAATTGAGTCGACGGTCGCGAATCTTTTGAGAACGATCAATACTTTTTCTAATCTCCTGAGCGTACTCCGTCTGTCCCTTTGCTTCAAAGCCTCGTGCAAAATCTTCAGCATGATCCACCTTATTGCATCGGTTAATCATATCTTAAACAAAAAACATATTTCGGGAAATTTACCAATACCTCTCGCTGGTATTTCTGCTTCAATGTGCTTTCGTCCATCCCGGCATCTTGTTTCGCTGACTTTTCGTCGTAGACTTGGCCCCTGTCGAACATACCGCTGAAAGTTTCTCTATCTATAACTCGCTGCTTGGCACGCTGCTTTATCAATTCTCGGAGTAGCCTCCGGACGTCTTGGTTTTCCTCGTCAATCGCATACGCCTTTCGAAGATCCAAGAGTGCTCGGTCAAACTCTGTAGCACCAGAGGATGCTGGTGTGATGAGAGCGAGCGCTCGTCTGTAATGCGTCAGGTAATATTCAAATTCATTGCTCCTGTAAGAAATCACGGCAGACGAATCCTTCTTACCGGTACAGAGCTTTGACGCTTTTTGGCTCGATCTCAAGCGTGTCGTCACATGCACATATACATATAGGGTACTCTTTTAGTTTAAACTTGGCCGCTACAGCAATATCGCATATCACACTAAGATCGTGTTGAAAAAGTAAAGACCCTGAGACCAAACATTACCTGCGATGTTTAGATAGCACGCTACTTTCAATGACTCGAGTCGATTTTGATCATTGGAGTTGTCACACTTGAAATCGGTGAGAATCATATCACCATCCTCGATCCCTTTCTTTTTCCAGCCGGGATCTTTGTCTTCCAAATACTTGAACACTGCCAATGCCTTTTCGAACTCTGCGACAGCTTCTTTGAACTCGTGCTTCTTAAAATACGAATTTCCTAATGCTTTCATGTTCTCAGCGGCTGCTATTCGTTCCGGATAAGGTTTAGAGCGAGCAGTAACGACCGATTCCTGCATGAAGAGCGAGTGCTGGAAATACTGAGGCCATGAATCAAACTGAGTTCGTAGCTGAGCCTGTTGGGCACTTTTAAGCTTTGCAGCCTTTGCCATGAGGTCTGCAAACGGGTTGTCGGTCGACAAGTCCATTGGCGCGAGTCAAGATACTTAAAGACGAGATGGGTGTTCGTAACAGTCTAAAGGACACAACCGTGCTACACATAATTGGCTATCATGTATAAAGGCCGTTTCAACAGGGGCGGCTAACAGTACAGAAATACATCGAGTCTTAATGCGACAAGTAGCAAAAGACATTTAATGAAAATTGAACAATTAGTTTGTTAACAGATAACCTTTCTTGCTGGCATGGACAATAAGTCTAGGCTTATGAATACTGCTTCAACAGTTTACCTAGAAATATCTAGGTGACACGATCAGGATATAATCGACAGTGAGCATTAATATTAGAGTCGCTGCTATATTTACTGACGATAAGCATTATTGAGGGTACGATAGTTGCCGCCTCACTATCGTTACGTCCACGCACCAAATTTTACACACTGCCCCGTCATGATAAAAGTGTCTTTCAGCTTTATGCCTGAATCTTACTTTTGAGTTTAGTAACCATAACCATGACACTGTTAAACATTCGTTGTATCTGAAATAATTGGCAAAGAGCTGACTAAGAGATTTCTATGGAATTGTTCCAGTTTCACTTGCGTCCGGAGTGATTTCATCGTCGAGGATAACCTCCCCTTCAGGAACTTTGTGCAGTTCATCTGAGGTAAGCGGTAGCTCGCACATCGGACAAGTTGGATCCGTTTCAAGAAGTTGTACAAACTGTGAGTATAATCCCGGGAATGTACAGCGTGGGCATGATGTCCAGTCATTCTTAACCATGTGATAGCCCTAGCAATAGTGACCAGCAGTATCTTAGACTCATGTGTTACGTTAAGTGTACACTATTTCACGTGGACGCACCGTTACAATGCAATAAGGAATTACATTTTTGCACGTCGAGCAGTCCAATTCAGCTTCTGCAAGCTCGTATGAGCAAAACGGACAAGGTGTTCGTTCGTCAGGTGGTTGCTCCTTATTGGGGCGACGAACAATAGCCTCAATCTTGCGTCTAATATCTTTGTCCATCGATGCGCGGTACTCGGATGAACGCATTAAAGTTGCCGCGAAATCGTAACTGTAACCACGCAAACCAGCACGTTGACATTCTATGACTGCAGAAATGAGGATGTTGGCAGCATGTGTGGGGAACTTTGACAAATGCTGCGCCACACGAATGAGCATTCGTGCGGCTGGTACGTGTTTTGATCGCTTGACAAGTTTTTTGACTAGCACATAGCTATGCAACAATGCAAGTGCACTTTGAAGCTCCCGAGCCACTCGCATGCGACGAGCACGCAACTGACGAGAAGTTTCGACGAGGACATCGCGTGCAAGCTTATAGTTACCCAGTTCCTGCTCTTGTCGAGCAATAATGACTGCAGTCTTGGCTGCTTGCGCATAATTTCCCAGCGCTAAATACAAGCGAAAAATATGATGTGGGTCTTTCGGAATACCATCTTGTTCTCCCATTAAGTGATCAATCAGTGTGTGGGTGAGCATGTCGTTACGAGCTGCCCCTACCACTTCTATAGCACGCACAAGCGCAGTGTCTCCAGCTGATCCACTACCACCGGCTGTTTCATTTGCTGCACTACACGCTAAGAGCAGCTTCAGTGCCTTGTGGTAGTTGCCTGCAGCATGGTAAAAATTGGCTGCACGCTCTGGTGACCTTTTTTCGTAATATTTTGCTACTTGCGCTGCTCTCGAAGCCATCATGTTCTCTTGGCCTAGAGTTTTCGCAAAGGAGTCCATTTCGCCATGCTGTTGGGCCAGTGCAAAGGCTTCATCTTCCTTGTTGGCTAGCAACAAAAATTCAATCGCACTTGGGTAGCGACCTGCTTCGACGCAATAGCGAGCAGCCGATAAGGCTCCTTCGGATGATTTTGTCTCGCGAACAATCTCGAACGCACGTTCAGCTCCATCTAAATTTTCCAGCTGCAGACGAACGACATTGTTCATTTCACCAGCTCGTTCATACGCCTCTGCAGCAGCGGCATACTCTTTGGCCGCCTCTTTTGCTCGAGCATACTGAGCGTGCACTTTGGATGCTTTCACACGATCCATCAACGGTGCTGCACGTGCCAAGTTCTTCATCTGCACGTAAAGCTGAGCAGCTTTTTCAATCTGTCCACCTTGTTCATACAATGCGGCCGCTTCAGCCACCTGTTTCATGGATTCTAAAATGGCAGCACATTCTTTAAACACTGTTGCATCATCAAGCTCCGTCGCAAGTTTCACTCCACGACGCAGATCGCCTTGTCGAAATGTACACCGAGCTATGCCCGCAAGACTTTGCGTCTGAAGCTTACTTACTGTTGAGGGCGCTGGACTTTTAAGACTAGCATCTCGATTCATACTTTCAATAGCACCAGCGGCGTGTTCGTATACTCGAAGCGCAGCTTCGAAATCACCACGAAATTCCAGTTGGGTAGCGTAAGCCACACTCAGCTCCGGTACGAGGTCGCGTGCTAACGAGTCAGCGAGCTTTAAAGCCTGCTCCCATTGTAGCAAGTGACGTTGCATATGCAGTGCGGCTAGTGGATCACTTGAATTCAAAAAGAGACGAACAGCTTGATTGTAATCACCAAAAAGCATGCACACGTGACCTGCCAATAGATTTTTCTCCTCAATGTCTGTAAGACGGTCGAGACCCAGGACCATTCCCGAATCTCCTAAAGACCGATATGCACAACGAGCGGCAGAAATATCGAGTGTATGCATTGCACGTCCAGCTAGAGCGAGCCAATAGTCCCGTTGGTCAAAACGAGACGCCAACCGCCGCGCTTCATCGAGACGAAATAGGCTCAAATTCTGTCTAAAAGCAGCTTTTTCCTGTTCTAATGCTCCCGAAAATGTTGAAGGCTCTTTACGTAGCTGGTCATGAGTTACACAAGGAAGCGAAGCCAGTCGACCCCCTCCTGATGCATGTTGACAGGTAACAATACCGTCACTTACAAGAATAGGCTCCAAGTCAGGCGGAACGGGTGTTGTTTGTGGCGCGATCACGACATCGCCGTCAGGTAAAACTTCCAGCTCGCCAAGTTGAGTGACTTCTGGACCTCGAATGGTGGTATCGGCTAGGTGAAAGACGCTTATTTCTTTTGGTTGCAAAGCTACAAATACCTGCGGATCAATTACATCCCAGAGCACACCCACGATGCTGGTCGATAGATTGGGGACGCTTGTAGTCTCGCGTGTAGCAGCATTGAGTATAAAGCCACGGCGCTTAATATCTAAAAAGAATATTCGTGTACCTGTCTTGTTCGGTACAAGCTGCACAATTCCTACGCCATCTTCGTGACGATACGCACAGCCATCGAGGAACTGCCATGCACTCAAGTAAAAAAATTGGATGGAGCCGGTACCATTCGATGTCGAGTAGATGAAAAAGTCTTTTGTCAGGGCTACTACGCTGATCTCGCTGTTGCGTTCATCTCGATTTCCACCCGAGAAGATTTTCGCGTTTTCGCCTTGTACTCCGCCGGGTAAGTGTGAATTGCTGGCATCACTGCCTCCTGGTTCGATCCGATGTAAACTCGCTTTGCCATCGCACAACACAGCAGCATATTCGCGATTAAGCTTTACGCATGTCACTCGACCAAGATACTGTTGTTCGTTGACCAGTGCTTCTGCTGATGATCCGTCGCAGCGATAGAACCAGACGCGATTGTTCATACCGACAGCTACATGACGTGGTCCGATGGCGACGAATGATGGCTCGACTGACAGTGCAATCCGAATCGTTTTATTGTTGCTCGATTCTATCTCATTGCGACGAGTGTCAACGATGCTAAGCTCACTTAATGAGCTTAGATACGCGACATAATGGCCACAGTGATCATGAATGCGAGGCATCTGTGCCAAAAAGCTGAATACGATGCCTCCATTTGTCGCAACAGTCAGGATTTGTCCATCCGACGTGAAGCTCATCAAATGGGCCTCATCCTCCTATATTGATGACAAACTCTTTTCAGTTTAGCGGAATGAGCAACTTTTTAATTAGGAAGTAATGTACCTCAATATCCGTAAGTTTTATCGTGTCTGCAACAATCTCAGTAAAGGTCGTTAGATCCACCACTTTTATACTGCCCTCGCCACTTAAAGCAACACGATTCAGTATTGACGAGTAACACGCTGCGAAGATCCGACCCAAGAAAAAGCGGTGCGACTGGAGCTCTTCACCTACTTCCTGTTATCAAACAAGACATGAAAGTGAATTCTCTTGACAATTTTCGATTTATCTCTTACGTCGATTTTTGTGGAAATAACGATGAGATAACCTTCTGAAAAAGCGATAATTATCATGCCGTCTGCAAACCACTCGATAAATACGATGCTCCCGTAATGCTGGACAGTTGACATCTCATTGTCAGCCTCATGCGCCATCACTTACAAAGGTAAGTGACACTTACAGCCTGAAAGGTGAGCTCGACGGGATTGGCTGAGTCTTGCAGACTGAGCAATATAATTGCTCTCGGAAGGGCAATAGCGATCAGCTGTTCGGCCACCTTCATCGAATCGCCTCGCTTTCGTCCAAACTTGATGTTCCATGGCTAGCATTTAAAGCATTTGTAAGAAACTTATAATTTCGTAAATAATGTTTAAACTGCACGCTTGTTCGAACCGTGTGGCTGAGTTCGCGTTGCTCAATCGTATCACCCTGCGAATTGCTCACTGTAAGCATGCGGTCGTCGCCTCCTAATACAAGTTTGTCATCAGCGTTCCACGATCCGCAATGTATACGACGCGTGTGCTTCCCAACCACAGGAACGATCTTTCGAGTCTCTTTGCTATACAAAACAAGGTTGCCCTTCTGGGTTCCCACTGCAAGTAGTGAGCCCTCTTTAGACCATCGAGCAAATGTCGGATCTTTGAGATTTGTGTCTAGACTCAAAGTTAAGCGGTTGCCATTATCCCAAAGGGGCACAACGCTGCTCCCTTGTTGTAAAATGGCAAGTGTACTTCCCTCCGTGTCCCATTCAAGCGCAATGACGGGAGCTGTTAAGTCCAGACCAATTTCGTCGTACTGTTCCCCCTGACGATCAAAGATGTGTACCAAGCCATTTGTGCCCGCGGTGGCTAAAAATGTCCCGTTCGGGTGCCACGCGAAAACCACAGACCCCGCGCCATGAAACTTGGAGGCTATTTTGAAGAGCTTTTTCATGTTTCATGAGGAAATGAGGACCTCGAAGATACAATTGCGTCTCTTCAAGATCAAAAGCAAGATCGTTATATATAGTATATTATTTTGTTCCTGCACCACCAAAATGCATCATGTGAGTTACCCTAGTGTAAAAATGTCAAGTACGAAGTTAAAGTGATCTTGGAGCAGCCAAAGTTAAATCTGACACGATAGTTTATGCAGATAAGCCACCCGCAAGCAGTAAAATTCGATCTTCCGATCTCGTCAGCTACTCATCAACACCATAGCCGTTGAAACCATGTTAGAACGAAATACACTCCGTAATAGAAATGCGACGGTGACAGATCTGGTTGTAAAGTTCGCTGACATTGACTGCAACGAAGTTGCTATACACCTTTAATAAAGATGGCTTGACCTCATATAGTCCGCGTTTTATAGTGTTCGCCATTCGTTATAAATCCGGGCTGGTGTCACTTTTCCCGCGTACCATTCGAAGTGATGTCACTCCGATTTCGAAACATAATGGTTATCCACCATGGCTGTCGACCACAACATCTCTGAGATTTGATTTCAGTCCGAAAGACGATAGTGTAATGTAACGAATACCATAATCGCTACAAACCATCTTGATCGATCGTCGCCATAAATCATCCCCATCGAAGTTTCTTTCGTAATAGGGTTGCTTTAACGGGGGTTACACGTACCTTGGTATGAGATGAGGGTCAAACATGCACGCAAGGGTGTGAGTTACACAAGACGGTGTGATCACACGATGGTGTGGCTACACCTTCACAATAAGCAGTACCGTGGCTAAAACCTATATATTTATAAACAGGCGGCTTTGCCGCAAATAAAACCAAGAAATGCAGTTTTCATTTTAACGGAAGTGTATATTTGCCCTGGGTTAAGGTTGTTGTTACTTTTGGAGTAAGCAGATTGCGATCCGCTACCCTCGTACTGGTTCTAAGTATAGAGCGAAAATCACCAAACTTAGCTTAGCTTCCTCTTAGCGAAAGGGCTACGGCAGCCCCGCTGCACTTGAAAGCACTAGTAGCCAATCTACACCAGAGTCGTTCGACTGGTTCTCTGAGGATAAAGCAGTTCTCCTATTCGCACCAGGGCTTGCAGGACGGGCTTGAAAAGATGACGTCTCTGCTTTGCCTTGAGGGCGACAGCACCTCGCATCGCAAGAACCTGAAGCGATCAGCGCGCGTCTAGAGGCGTTTTCGAGCACCTACAGCAGAAGCTGTCGGCGTCGGCTGCGTCCATAGCGCCACCGTCGACGACGGATGACTCCTCCAGTTCCAAGCCGCTCCTGATGAGCGTTAAGACCTTCGAGGGCAAGGGTGGAGAGAATCTCCTGCTCTGAGTGAACGAGGTCAAGATGGCTATGGCGTCCGCCATGCTCCAGACCGAGCACCGGCGCGTGGCGCTAGCTATCTCCAAGCTTGGTGGTCAAGCACGAGAACGGGCACTGACATGCGGCACTTCGGTCGAAGCGGCGTTACCCTCCTGGACGGAGCTGAGGCAGCAGTTTTGACGAGTGTTCTCGCCGCCTTATCAGGCATATTGCGAGCGATTGCGTTTTTTTGCCACCCGAAAGGGCAGGAAGAAATTGGTGGCTTTGCCCAAGAGTTGCGTACTCTCATTGCCGTTATGACAGCCGATCCTCTCCCCGAGGCGGTCAAAGTGACCGCCTTTATGGAAGGCCTCCGCACTGGCGTGTCAAGAATGGAAGTATCCGTGTGCTCCCATCTTCTTTTGAAGAAGCAGTGAATGTGGCATTGAAAGCCAAAATCGACTTTATGTCGTCACGACTTGGTTGGAATGCATACTCTAGCAGATCGTCGAGCGGGCCTGAGCAGGTAGATCTCAGCTATGCTGAGAAAAAGGAGGCAGAGCTCCGAGCTGCCGAGCAGCGTTTGAACACCGGACGGTGTTTTACCTGTGGAGTCCTTCATCACCTTCGGATTGGCTGCCCCCTTGCAAGTCGCATCAAGGTTCATTGAACCGATATCCAGTTTCTAACCAGTCTGAGTTGTCGCGGGGAAACGACACACCCACTAGACGCGAAGCGGCCAACTGGGGAAGAATTGATTTCTGTTAAGCCTCAAAGTGGTAGAGGGCAGCCGGGCCCAGCCCCGGAGAGCTCCGTGATCTTGAAAACGAAACGTGTGTGCATGCTGATGCGCTGAAATAGCGCTTGAGTGACATCGCTACTGTTCGATTAGCAACGAAGACTTGTGGCACGTGACACGGGTCCTTGTGGACCTCAGTGTCAATTTTCTTGAAATTGATGGCGTGGAACGTTGCTTACTCTTAGACTTGGATTCAAGGTATAACCTCATTCTTGGTATAGCTTGGTTGGAGCACAATGAACCATGGATTGATTGGAGGTCGAAGACCTTGAGCGCTACGCGCACGTCCCCTGGTGGAGCTTTGGAGAGTCATAAATGCACAGAAGCGCTTTTGGCACGGGCACTAGACCGGGACGCCCAATGTGCTGGATATCGTAGTATCAGAGTTATCAAACACCGAAGGTTTATAGGCAAAGGTTCCGAGCATGGTTCGCCGGCTGAACGTGGAGTGGCATGTAATCCACTGAGCGCTGCTAAAATATCAAAGCAGTCACTGCATGCCACGAGTGGCATGGTCCGAGGCATCTTGGGCAAGGCCCTTCAGATGCGCGTGGAGTGGCACGGCATCCACTGGACGAAAATTGCGGAGCTAGCAGCTCTTCATCAAATGTTGTTAACACCATCAGGGCTCGGGTGGAGCAGGAAATGGAGAAACTGGACGACGATGAGTGCATGTTCACACTGGCCTTGCTGCAACACGCCGGGTGTCAACCCTGACCCATGATGTGTCAACCGTAGACGATAGCGCACAGCTATACACCCCCGTCCACGGTATGACGAGGGAGGAAGACGGCGACGTCAGCCTCGAGGCTATACCCGCGGTGAATGCTCGTCTTGAGCTGGACGAAATGTCCCTCGAAGGGTTCGGCGGTGCCTAGAAGGCAGGCAATTTAGTCGAGATGGTCATCATAAGACCGAAGGAGGAGATTAACTAGTCGTCGCTGCGGGATGAAGCTGTCCTGGAGGACGCCAAGAAGGTGCTGAGCGCACGAAGTGAATCCTGAGGAGTCCCTCGGATCCGTACTATCCTTTGGTGAAGGAATTCCAAGACGTCGTCTCCGAAGACCGGCCGTCGGTCCCACTTCCGGACCGAGGTATGCGTCATGAGATCGACCTGGAACCAATAACTACGTAACACGCCAAAGGTCCCTGCCCAAGGAGCTGTGTGACGTCATTGATGCCTTCCTCCGTGTGAAGTACGATGCAGGAATGGTGTGTGAAAGCAAGTCTCCCCATACGACACCTACGATTTGTGTCCGGAATACGAGCGGCAAGTGCAAATCGTTCACGCTTAGATTAGGCTCAACGCCGCCACCATTCCGGCACAGACGCCGATTCCTAGGAAGGATGTCTTTCAGAAAAACATGGTTGGCTGTACAAAGTACAGTGCACTCGACTTGGTCGATGTGTAATACCAACTGCTTATGAGAGCGAGTGATATTTCGCTGAGTACTCCGAGCGGCATGCTCTGGGAGTCGCTGGTGATACTCAAGAGCTGTCAAATGCACCAGCAACATTTTATCGTTAAGTGGCGCAGTTGTTCAGGCCCCAACGGGCGTATGCACATACATATTTCGACGACATCTTCGCCCATAGTTGTGCGGGACACGGGAGAACGGATGGTGATGACCACATTGTCCATTTGAGAGCGGTGCTCGAGTGCATGTACACGAATCAGTTAGATGCTAATGCCGATAAATGCAACTTTGTCGCTGATGAATTATGGGTGCTTCATTGGAAAGCGTGGCTATTGAGCGGATCCCGCAGAAATCAAGGCCATTGTGTCTTGGCCTCGCCAATTACTTACACAAGCACAGCGAGGATTACGCAGAAATGGCACGGCCATTGTTGGGACTCTCTAGGAAGGTTGCGGAATGGTGTTGGGACACTGAGAGGGAGAGGTTTTGACGGGGTCAACGACACCCTCCTTCATGCATCAATACCGGCGTTGCCAGACCCCGGTCGTCCTTTCAGTGTCGTCTATGAAGCTTCGGACTTTGCCATCGGCAGTGTACTGCTGCAAGCCGACGCCGAGGGGTGAGATCAGGTGATCGCTTTCAAATCTCGCCAGCTTATCGATGCAGAGAAGAACTACCCAGTTCACGACAAGATATTGCTTGCAATGAAGAATGCACTTTTCAATTTCAGAATGTACCTGCTCGGATCCAAGCCATGTGTGATATACACAGATAATGCATCACTACGCACTGCGACTCTGTCGCCTCACCTCTCGTAGAGGATGGCCAGATGGCTCTCCTTTATCGCATAGTATATCTTCGAGGTGAATTATAAGTCCGGAAAGCTGAATGATTTGGCTGATATGTTGTCACTCAGACCGGATTATGAGCTTGCTCATGTTACGACGGTGACGTCGTCAGTGATGGATTTGATCCGCCCCGCGTACGCGGGTGGTGATATGTGCGTAACGCTGCTACGGGCTCTTGGGGGCAAGGAGTTTGGAAAATTGGACAAGAAAATGTCGCGACTGCGCGCACAGGTACATCGATATTCATTGAATAACGGATTGCTGTATTATAGCACCGACTCGACGGACATGACACAAATTGTGGTTTCTCACGATAAGGATTTAGAAAACCGTATCCTCTATGAGGCCCACGACACTGTACTCAGTGGTCATCTCGGTCGTAAGAAGACCCGCAGCTCTGTGAGTTTCCACTATTGGTGGCCTAAGCTGTACAAATGGACGAGCACCTATGTGCGCACGTGTGAGACGTGTCAGAGGGTGAAACCCTCTCCGAATACGGCGGCGACGGTGATATGTTTGCCGGTACCCTCCGGGCATTGACAATCCATGAGTACGGACTTCGTGTTGGCCTGCCGATGGACTTGGCGAGCAGCACGGGTGTCGTGGTCTTTGTCGACCGTTGAGCAAGATGGCTCATCTTGCGGCGGTGCCGGACACCATCGACGGTGTCAGTACAGCTACACTGTTTATGGATCGTGTCTTTCGACAACATGGACCCCCGGAGTCATTGTCTCTGACAGAGACCCACGCTTCACTAGGAAGTTCTGGTCGACGATCTTCAAGGAGCTGGGCGCCAAGCTCACTATTTCAACAGCGGACCAACCGCAGACCGACGGTCAAACTAAGCGCGTGAAAAGCGTCGTTTAAGATGTTCTCGCACCATCTGCGCTCAGATGCCGAGGCGCTAATGCGCCATACTGTCACTTGTAGAGTTTGCTCTGAACAATGCAGTGCATGTGTCTACCAGCTACACGCCATCTTATGTAAGCGGGCTCATTAATGATCGCGCCCCGCTGACGCCGCCATCCCATGTCCCAGGGCTTGGTTGAGAAAGAATAGCCGAGCGGCTAGCTGATGTCAGCACCCTCACTGTAAAGAAGTCGATGACTCCCTGCCTACTAGACTGAGTGTCTTACGACACGTTCGCGATGCGATGGCTGAATGCCAAGACATACATAAATACTATGCAGATGGAAGACGCAGAAAAAATGATGGAAAGTTTGAGGTCGGAGATTTGTTTTATTAAATGCTAAAATCCATCCTACACATGAGGTCTCTATTGTCTTTAAGACAAAGCTCCGCCCACGGTTTATCGGACCTTTTGAGGTCGTGGCCAAGCGGGGCTTTGCGTATATGCTTAACCTTCCGAGACGGATGTGCACCCACCCGGTGCTTTATATGGGCTTGCTCAAGCCGTATTGGATCCGGATCTAGTGAACGAGGGAGCGTTGGCCCCGGTGCGGCGTCTACAGGAGCCCCACCATCCAGAAGGAGGATCAGCATTTAGTTTTGAGCACAGAGTGCAACAATCTCCATCTTTAACGCCAGGCGCTCCACCATCGCAAAATGCGATGCGTCCGTCTGCTCGATGGCTAAGAGCCGCTCTGATAGAGCGCGATAGTCTTCAACGTGAGGCATTCGGTGCACGAAGTACTCCAAGCTCTTGAGGTCTTACGCACAGCTGTATGAGACCCCAACATGATGCTCAGCGGAGCTCCAATCGCGACCGACCTTGTTCTCGGGACGCTCGAAGGGCATCGCGAGTAGCAGAATGGCGATCGACTATGTCGTCTTCGTCCGCCGCCGACTTTTCATGACGAGAATGGTGGCGTCCTCTTTCACGTGGAACGTCGTGTAGATTGAGGGTCAAAACCAGTATCTTGTGAAGTGGCGGGTTCAACTTCGGCAAAACTGCTCAAACGTCGTGGACGCTTAAGATTTGAGGGAACATGACGTTTAGTGTCATTGTCAAAAGCCAGGGAAGCCGAAGGGCCATGAGCTGAGCTCAAGCTAAGCCCTGATATGATATGGTCTCAGACTCACCCGTGTGAGAGACCACAGAGCTCGCGGGAGCGTGATGGATAAATTTATACGTCGCAGTGCGACAATACGAAGGAGGTCGGCGACGCGCCTTGAGTTTTATAAACTCGAACCGAAGATGGCGTTCCACGCGCACGTCCACCTCCTTGTAGCTCCGCTGTAAGTTGGACAGCGAGGAATTTTCCGATGTCGCTGCACCCATCGCTCAAAGAGCCTTTCATCATTGCAGCGGTTTCTCCAGGAACAAGCACAACAGGAATCGTATACATTGCGGGGACAGGAGCGCCTTCTCTTCGAGCGCGAAGTCGAACGCGGTACTCGGTTGCAGAGGGCCTAGGATGCGCTTTCCTTAGCCACGGACGTGCCGTCCGAAGTTGCACCGCGAACAGGAGACGAAGACGGGCCTTACCCGCGGGTTCTCTAGGAACCAGCGAGGCTGGGGGTCAATCGTGTCCGAAACATAGGGTTCATTGAGCAGAGAATGCGTGCAGAAGGTCCAGGGGATGTAGATGTGTCTTTGAAACGCAAGCTTCGTACGAGGTGGGCGTATAAAATTTTGTTGGGGGAGAGTGTAACCCCCGCCACACTCTCCCTTGTAGGAAGGGGTGGGTCACATAAGATGGGGTGGCCATACAAAGGTGTGGGTTACACAAGGCGGTATAATCACACAATTGTGTGTCTACACCTTAACGAGAAGTCAGTACGTGGCTGGACTGCCAGTAGTTATTCATCTTAATTTGATTTTACTATTTAATGCGGACAACCTATACATTTAAATATAGGCGGCTTGAACGAAAGAGTTAATTTGCCCTAAATTAAAGACGTGGTTACTCTTGGGTTAAGCGGATTGGATCCGTTACAATCGTACTGGTTCTAAGCATTGAGGGCCACCGACCTTACCTTAGCTTCATCTAAGCGAAAGAGCTACAGCAGCTCTGCTGCAGTTGCCATGCACTTTGCAAATAAGAAATTTCACCCGGAAAACTTCGAGTTACAAACACACAAAGGTTGGGTTTCGAGCGCACACCTAAAAACAAAATGAGAGTCACTAACGTAAATGATTATCTTGGTAGCTCCATTTTTTCAAATATATATATCCTTCTCTTCTCTTTACCTCTTCTCTTCTCATAATAATAGAGATGTGTCATTATCACCTGAAACGAAGCTAGCAGTTCACGTGTAACACGGACCTTGCCTTGAAAAGTGTCGGTATTTTCATACAAACCGACACTTTGGTAATCCAAAAATTGTGCAACTACACAAAATTGCAATATGAATCTCGTACATTCGCAAAATATTGTACTTTGCACAATTGTACAAAATGTTGGCTTATTATACACAGTCCCGGTACTACCTCCCCCACTAAGATGTGGACCATATTGGGGCATATACCTCGTTTTTCTGTGATATACTGAGCAACAGTAAACGCTCAACGAGCAACCACTACGCGTAAAGTCTAACTTAATTTCACCATGCCTGCACCTCAGAGTATATTCGCCACGGGATACCCTCCACGCTCTTCATCAATGACGTTGTAAGTCTTTCGAAAGATGCGTGGTCCTCGCAACCGACGCTATCGACGAAAAACACCTTGACATGCCAAAGTTTCTTTGACAAAGTTGACCGCAGTAACTCTCTGAGTTTTGACAAAGCACCTTTACCATCACTTAAATGTATTGGCCGAGGTGGAGGCGCTCCTTGTGCTTCACATTTCTGGTGCACGAGTTTAAAACTCCGTGCACTTTTCCAATAGCGGCTAGTGTCGTGATACCCGCCGACAATGTCCAGCTGATCGCTGTTGAGCTAAAAGCCGGCCCAAGAAGTCCATCTTGCGCATCAGCATGCGGAAGAGTCGTGTATACTTTCGTCAATGTCCTCACGCCGTCTCTTGCCAATATCATTGCGGTGATTACGACTTTAAACCAACTCAAATTGCTTGTCGCGCTGCAGAAGAGCCCATATACGACTATGTGTTCGGGTCTTTTGCTCACACCGATAACGAAACGAGCGCCAGGAAGTTTGTTTCTCAGACGCACAGGTAATTACTCACCGTGTAGAGATCCGCTCCTTTCATGAATAATGTACTTTAAAGCCGGCAAGAGTGCTAGTACATGTAAGCGGATACTGCCCGTAATGTAACCACCCTGTAGTGCACATCACACAAAAGATATAAAAATGATTTCATATATGTTGCTAAACCTCATGGTTCCATAGCTTCGTGGTTCAGCGTTCGCTTCTCAAGCGAGTGGTCGGTGGTTCGATTCCACCTGGTGCCGTTAGCAACTGTTCATACCTGCACGATATAGAATTGCGAAGCGACCGACAGTGGGAAGTGTGTACTAGTTCTTCGCCAGTATGCTAAGTACCTAGCGTCGGAGCCTCCTCTGATATGGATTCGAGATCGGGTGGTTTCTACAGATCGAAATCATAGCGGTTCCAGGTATGCAGAGGATGACTGTTCACAATCTTTTAATTACCATGAAGGTGCGCAAAACAAACATAAAACACAATATATATTGAATTATTGATAAACGTAAGCCTCTGTAAACTTCATAATAATTAAGTCGTGCATCTTCATTTGTTATGATCCTAGCTCCACACTTGTAGCAATGAAAATTTGCGCATTGTTTCATTTTCTAGATGCATAATGGCAGCTTGACTTTCTGGTAAGATTGATTTGTAGTACTGAAATTTACCGAAGGCTCTGTAATGGGGTAATGTTTTATTAAGGTTTTAAATTGGAGTATGTTTTATTAAAGTTTTAGAGATGGAGTATTTTCTTATGTTTTCCTTAACGAAAAAACATTACTTTTTTAAGAATTTATAAACGTTTGGACTCTTGAAACAGCAGAACAAATAATTAACCTAAACAACTCGGTATGGCTGATTCCAATACGTGGACTCTTTGAAATGAAACTTCCTTAAGGCCAAGTGCACTGTGAACCCGTCGCAGTCTGTCGCATATGCCACGAATGTACTCCATTGCATCCATATGCAACCCATTTCCTACATCCTTTCGCCTCCGAGACAACGGATCCTTTTTTATACTTGGATTTGAGAATAATAATGTACACTTGATGAGTTACGTCCCCCCTTTTTAGGAGTCGTGTAAGCCATGCCAAGCACGTGCTGTAGGGTTTTTCATTACACTCTAACCCGACTC